TGTGAGGTGGCCCGGGTCTTGCAAGGTTTAGACAGGTATCTTGAAGAGTTCTCTTCGAATCAAGGTGCAGTTTTGATTGCTAAGAGTGTTACATATGAGGATCGACGACAATCTTATGTGGCTCTAGGGTACCCTTTGTGGTTAAGGGAGCTCTTTGAATCGGAAAGGAGTCTCTAAGTCTCCATTCAAAGAGTTGTTATCTTGAGTTTTGGCCTTTTAGATTGTGTTTGATCGTTGACTACTATGTTTTGATCTCTTGGTGTTTCTCGGTAGAAATTTCTTTTTGACTGGATGGTTGTAATTTCGTTAACAGTTCATATATATATAATTCCAGATGACAAAAAAAAGAGTTTATGACATTGTTTATTTTTGTTTTTCGTATATAATAAATTTATAAAGAATTCGGATATATAAAAGTTTATGGCAGCGTTTGGAAAGAACGAAATAGATCCCACCACGAAAAATCATCTCACTCATCAGTTTTTTTTTTTTTTACAAACGCCATAGATTAAATCAAATTTGGTGTGTAGGGGTCGCTCCAATTGGAGTAACCCATACCGGCTCATCGAGATCTACATGGAAAAGATATGACCATGTGCACGTGCCTCTTTTGCAAGAGCATCGACATGGGTATTACAAGAGCATGGGATAAGAGATAATCGAAAAATCGCATATAAAGGTATTCTAGCTCGGTCTTAAAAGCTGGTCAGTCCATCGGATCGTCTAGCATCTTCAATAAATCTGAGCAGTCAGTCTCAAATCGAATCGAAGAGATATCGTTATGTATAAGGCAGTCCATTGCCCATGTCAGGCCGTCGAGCTCTGCATGGAAAGCAGATAGGTTCCTCTGGTAACCTCGTCTACGGGTGTGAACCTTCCCTGTTGTATCGGTAAACCACCACATAAGGTCATTTGTGGGCCCATGATCCACCCATGATGCATCGACCTGGCAAACTCCCCGAAGAGGTGGTTGTTGTGGTTTGGGGAGAGTTTTCTTCATCGTCTTCTTCTTTTGCATGTGCAAGTCGCCAACTCTCCTCTTCAAGTCTTGCAAGTTGAATAGTATCTAGGGGTGATGTATTTTTTCCGTTGAAGAACTTAGTGTTCCTTGCTTTCTATATGTAACATATAATCCATGTC